CATACCAAAAAAAAAAAGTCTGCCAGAAACGAAACAGGAGACAATGCTCAGTGAACTCAGTTCATTCATTTCTACACGCTAGGCCAGACCTCTGTTTCAGGGATGCAGTGCCCTGTTTTGGAAAGGCTTGGCCTCAGGGTCAAGAGAGCAGGCTTCTAGTTCTGGCTGTGCTATCTGTCTTGCCCTGTGACCTTGGGCAAATGACTCCCTCCCCATTTCCGAGCCTCATTTTCCCCATCTGTATAATGGAGGCATTGAATTAGGCCTGTTAAGCTTCCTTCCAGTTTCAGCATTCTGTGACTGAGCTATCCCAGAGCATAGGAGGAAGCCTGATGCTCAGTGGTTTTGTTTTTTTAACCTTAGATAGCCCTACCCAAAATGATATGGAGTATAATTGAGGAATCCCTAAAATGGAACGTAGGAACCTTGACCTGGGAAATAACTTGGTTGGGTTCCCACAGGGAGATAGTGATAGATTTAGAACTAAGATTATCTGACCCTACGAACACAGAATGTCAGGTTGGTGGGTAGGCAATCTTACAACACTGGATGTACAGCCATCAGGGAAGGACATCAGAACAGTGAATGTCAGAGCCAGAGGGAAGCTTTAAATAGAAAATGTCAGATCTGGGAAGGCCTTCTAGAGATCATCTGATTCCCAAGCCCCTCATTTTATAGGAGGGGGAAAAGAGGAAGTGATTTACCCAAGATCATCCATTCTACATTATATGAGTGGCTGAGGACAGGGGCCCAGCTCTTGGTCCAGGGCCCTTTGTACCATCCCCTGTGCCCAGGTCTATCCTGGCCAGGCCCTGGGGGAGGAGTGGGGAGGGCACCTCAATGTGAAGTGCCATCTCTACCCTCCCAGAGGACTGAGGGGAGCACTGAGCTGTGTGGCTAAAAGGAGGATGCTGTAAGAGCCCCGAGCAGGGAGACCTCTCCTTGTGAGGCTGGAGAGCTAGTAGTCTCACAGAATCCTGGGCTTTAAAGCCAGAAAGGACTTTAGAGAGTTTTGGGACCTGGGTCTTTTCACCTTCTTTTGTGACTTGGACCCCTTTGGCTGGGAGTCTGGTGAAATCTTTGGATGGACACCTCAGAATAAGGTTTTTAAATGCATAAGATAAAATTCATAGTATTTTTTCCAAGTATTTTAAAATAGTTATTTAAAAAAACACATTTATGGAGCCCAAAATAAGAGCCCCTGATCTAGTCTACCCCCTTCTGCACTTTATCTCCCATTTTATAGATTAGGAAACTGATGCCCAGATTTGGGAAGGGACTTGTAAGAGATCCCAGGGCCAGCGTCAGACCAGAGGTCCCTTGCCTCCAGCTTCAGCATGCTTCCCCAGAACCATTCTCTTCTGTGTAATCCTGGACACGTCACTGGGCATTTTTGAATCTCTTTCATTTCCTGTGAAATGGATGTTATGGGGAAGGGGGAACCTTAGAGCATTAGAGAAGGATGATCCATTGGTCTTCTTGGAGGACTTGAAGACCCCTTTGAAAGCTGGCTCAGACTTAGAGAAGACAGGAAGGTAGCCATTCCTGGCAGGGGCATAGTTGGTGAGGGAGTAGGCTGGTAGCCGGGGAAGGGCAAGCAGCCTGCCGAGGCTGGAGCTGGAGCCCAGAGGCCTGCAGACACCAGGCTCTGGCCTCGAGTTGCCCCCTTCAGGAGGAGCCAGAGTTGAGGTGTCTCTCTCCACTAGGTGGCTGTCACAGGCTCAGGTTGTCATATTTTATCTCAGTTGTCCTCAGAAGAAAGAGTGATGGGCTGGGGGAGTCAAGAGGATCTGGGTTTGCATTTCTGCCCTAATGTTGTATAAGTCCAGGCAAATCATTGGTCCTCTCTGATCTTCATACTTCTCCTCCATGAAATGAGCATCATAGGATACCTCGAGAAAGTGTCTGCAACTCCATAATAGTTGGAGTCCTTTGAGTTCACATGTGGGAATCACTTTACAAACTTTAAAACTCTCTAATTGAGAGCTTTTCCACTGAGAGTAGAAGTCATGGCCTAGTGTGGGTGGGGGGGATCCTGTGGCCTTGAGGCCGCATGTGGCCCTCTAGGTCCTCAAGTCCAGCCCACATCCAAAGAGATTCAGTCAAAGGGCTGCACTCAAGAACCCAGAGGGCCACATGTGGCTTTGAAGCCCCAGGTTCCTCACTCCTGGCCTAGTGGATACAGGCCTGGCCTTGGAGCCCAAAAAGTCTGGGTTTTAGCCTGGCCTCTCACCCATACTGGCCATGTGTGGGATCTTGGCTAAGTCATTTAACCTCTACATGCTGGAGGCAGCTTCCTTGAGACTACAAGTTGCAGAGGAAAGGGTGAATGGCTTTGAGAGATCTTTCTACTCCGTGACATCCAGGGCCCAGACCCCAGCCAGGGTCCCCTCTCTTCTAGCGGCTTACAGGAAGAGGGATCTCAGCCCCAGAGGGATGGACTCTTTTCTCTCTTGTTAGGACTCCTTTTTTTTTTTAATGCTGCTAATCTGCTTAATCTTTGAGGAATTAAAATACCCAGGCAGTTTTTTTTTTCAGGTACCAGAGAGACGGGGAATAAAGGGAAGATGGGAGACAGGCTAGGCCAGGTCTCATCTCTCCTCTGGCTTTCTACAGCAGCTTTCCATTCACCTCTCCACCCCCACCCCCCTCCTGCTCAGACCCCTTTAGTGACTCTGAGGAGCCCCCAAGAGAAGGTACAAGATCCTTGGCCTGGAGTTATTGAAGCTTGTCTCTGTTGCCTCCCTCCCCCCACCCAAGTTTGGCCCCAACCTCCTTTTCCCATCACATCAGAAGACCAGGGTTCAGATGTCACCTGGCAGCCATAGTCCTAGGATATCAGGCCCTTCTGCCCCTTGCAGCATGAGAGCTCTTCTTTCTTCACTTCTTTACATGAACAAACTCTCCACTTTTGTCTACTGGGCCAGTCTCCTTAATGCCCCTCCATCCCCCATACACACATTATGAAGAAACTGAGGCCCAGATAGGGATTTGCCCAATGTGACATGTCGAGGAGGTAGTTTGAAATAGGTCCTCACTGGACTTCCTCCCACCTGAATGCCCCAGTCTCTTCAGTCAGAGTGTCAGCCTAAAAGAGACCTTAGAATACATAGAATGACAGGCTCTCAGAGCAGGAAGAGGGGCCTCCAGTGTCATCTGGTTCAACAGGATTCCCTTCTCTGGTTTCTTTGATTCACTTGAAGGGTTCCTCCAGTAATGGGAACCCTCACAAGTTCCAGGGTAACTCATCCCAAGTCTGAGGAGCTCTGAGCATAGAGCCTCGATCTTCCTCTGTAGTTTCTGTCTGTTTCTCTTATGTTCTGCCCTCTAGGGCCAAGTGGAACAAGTGGGATCCTTCTTCATATCAACCCCTCAAATATTCAAAAACCGCTCTTGTCTTCTGCCTGGGCCTTCTCCCCTCAGGCCAAACAGCCTGGTCCCTTTAACTGGACTTCATGTAATATCATCTTCCCACTGTCCTGGTTAGCCTCCTGGACATATTCCACTTGTCCATCTCCTGTCTGTAATTTGTTGCTCGCAGCTGGGCAGTTTTCCAGGAAGAATACTGAGGGCCTAGCCACCCCTCACTCCATTCTCAACAGTGGGCCTTTTAGTACAGGCTACCATTGCAATACCTGTATGATGGCCATATCTTATGGTTGGCTCGTGGCGCTCAGAGACCATTAATGCTCCCTTATCTTTTCCATTGAACCCAAATGTAGGACTTTACATGTATGCCTATTAAATGTCACTTGATTTAGAATCAGCCCATCCATTCTAGAGGACAGCTAGGTGGCACAGTGAATAATGCCAAGCCTGGAGTCAGGAAGACCTGAGTTCAAATTCAGCCTTTGGCAAATCACTTAACTTCAATGTGCCTCAATTTCCTCATCTGTAAAATGGGGATCATAATATAATAGCATCTACCTCTCAGGGTTGTTGTGAGGGTCAAATGAGATATTTGTAAAAGTGCTTAGCACAGTGCCAGGCACACAGCAGATGCTTAATAAATGCTTATGACTTTTCCCATTATTGGGATTAAAATGTTTAAATGACACACTGCCAGATCCAGAGTAGTGGAGCGCTAGAGACTTCCTTCTAAATTGACATTGACCTATTAATAGCTTCCTTTGGGTCCTACCCTTCAACCAGTTCTGAATCTACCTCACTGCTATTGTTTGGTCCATATCTATCCATCTTGCCCATGGGTCGCTGCTGAGTCACAATGCCTTGTTGAAGACCAAGAATGCTGGTGGCATTCCCCACTGGTCCAGTAACCCTGTCCAGAAGAAGGATATTAGATTAGTCTGGCATGACCTGTTGTTGATGAAGACACACTGGTTCTCTAGTAGGAATTAAAGCCACTGAGCTTCTTGTTTTCCTCCAATGGCTTTCCATGACTCACACCTCTGGGCCATGAGAGCAGGAGGAATGGAGGCCCTTAGACTCAGCCATAATCCCCAGCATCTTTCTCTTTGGATGGAACTCTGGGCCCTAGGAAAGAGGCTCAAGGCCCTAGACCCAGCTCTGCCACTGACTTTTTGTTTGTTTGTTTCTGTTTTTTGCTGGGCAGTGGGGTTAAGTGACTTGCCCAGGATCACACAGCTAGTAAGTGCCAAGTGTCTGAGGCCGGATTTGAACTCAGGTCCTCCTGACTCTTAAGGCAGAGAGCTCTATCTGCTGTGCCACATAGCTGCCCCACTGCCACTGATTTTGCTAGGAAGCATCAGACAAGTCTTTTCTTTGCTCGTGGCCTCTGTTTCCCCATCCATAAAATGAGACGTTTGAATTCTGATTCTCTGTAGTACTTTTGGGCTCCAAGATTCAACATTACAGTTTTCTTAAAAAGTTCAGCCCTGGGTTAAAAAGATTTTTTGGGATGTTCCCCCTCCATAGCCAAAGTGAGTCCCATTCCTAAACAACAGAGTCTCACCCAAATTTCTTTCTTTTTCTTCCCTTCACCCTCTATCTCTCTGTCGTTCTATGTCTCTGTCTTCTAGATGTTCCCGTTGCCAGTGGCCAATGGAAAATCCAGGCCTACCACGTTGACCAGCACTCAGTTTGGAGGCTCAGGTATCATGATTTTATTTTCCTTATTGTTCTGTCAAATATTGAAATAAACCAAAATGTGTCCTGTTCTCCACCCCCCCCCACCCCCAGCAACCAGGCCTCTTGCTTGGAGTTACTGGTGTCATCATGTCCTGTCTTTCCCACTCCCTGGCCTCTGGCTGTCTGATGACTCAGAGATGAGGCCTGGGCGCTATCAATCCTAGAACAATTTTTTAAGTTGGGGTAGAGGAAGGAGAGATCGGTGAAGAAACAGTGAAAGCAAGGAAGCTTGTAGCTTCCCAGTAAAGAAACTGGACCCTCCCTGGGACATTGCCACCCAGTTCAGCCTTGGAGAAGTGTCTCCCACTTGGTCCCCTGCTAAGTGGTCTCCAGGTGTTTTGGCACAGGGGCTCTTGGACAGCTGCTCCTTTGGGGTGGAGGGAATTGACATGGAGGGTGGGAGATTGTTCTAGGGACTTGTTTCTCTGCCCATAGATCAAGGCTTTAATGGAGGGAGAAGGAAGTCAGATCTCAAGGCCCCATTCATTTTTGTCTCTGTCCGTGTTGTAATCTGTTAAGGCACAAGAAAGGGGGAGGCTGGAATCCTGTGAAAGAACCGATTCCTCCCGGCGTTGTTTGTAGATGGGAAAATGTCTCTAAAGTGTGGGCTTGGGAGGTGGGGAATCTTGAGATTGAAGAAGAGCTAATTCTACAGTGGACAGGTAAATTTCAGAAGGAAATAAACACCTGGTACCTGGACAGGGAGGAATGCAGAATTGGGCAGGTAGATTCAGAAATCCAAATGAAGATACACCAGATAAGCAGAGAGCTGGCTGGGCTGGGTAGCATTTCCTTTAGGAGGGGAAAAAAAAGATCTGGGGGTCTAAGTGCACCTTAAGCCTAGAATGAGTCACTGATAAGGTATGTCTGCTTTAAAAAATTTTTATAAAGCTAATATGATCTTAGGTTGGACTAGTAGGAAGATGGTACGCATGAGAGATATCCTAAGCCCTGGTCAGATCCTAGGTGGAATATCACGTTCAGGTCTAGGCATCACACTTTAGGAGATGCTAACAAGCTAGAGCTCATTGAGTGGAGGACTCACCATGGAGACACTGAAGCAGAGTACTCCTGCTCAGGGTTAATGGGGAAGGGATTCCTGCACTGGGTAGGAGCTCGGGAGAGCAGTAAAGTGAGTGAGCTCCAGTTTCCCCATTCATAAGACAAGTGGTTTTAGCTAGTTGATTCCATGTCCTAAGGACCCTCCAGGATCTGACATTGTGTATTCTAAGGACCCCTCCTAGCTCTGACATCCTGTGTTCTAAGGGTCCTTTCTGATCTGACACCTTGTGTTCTATGGGCCCTCTCAACTCTGACATCCTGTGTTCTAAGGACCCTCCCAGCTCTGACATCCTGAGTTCTAAGGACCCTCCCAATTCTGACATCCTGAGTTCTTTTTTTTTTTTTTTGGCTAGGCAGTGGGGTTAAGTGACTTGCCTAGGGTCACACAGCTAGTAAGTGTTATGTGTCTGAGGCCAGATTTGAACTCAGGTCCTCCTGACTCCAGGGCCGTTACTCTATCCACTGTGCCACCTAGCTGCCCCACTGATATCCTGAATTCTAAGGGCCCTCCCCCGTCTGACATTCCATGTTCTCAGGGCCCTTCTGGGTCAGACATTCCATGTTCTAAGGGCCCTCTCAGCTCGGACACTCTATGTTCTAAGGGCTCTCCTGGGTTAGACATCCTGTGTTCTAAGGACCCTCCCAGCTCAGACATTCTGAGTTCTGTGGTCCCTTCCATCCTTGACATCTTATTCTAAGGCCCCTCCCAGCTGTGATATTTTGTGTTTTAAGGTCCCTCCCAGCTCTGACCTATTTTCTTAGTTTCCTTTCAGTTCTTATACTGGGTTCTAAGCTTCTGACTGTGTTAGAACACAGCTTTGTTCCACCCTTGCAGTTGATCTAGAAGGCTGAGTTGGCCAGGTGGATTTGCTGTGCCAGGCCCAGGCTGGGTAGAACCTGTCAGGCCACATTAGGGAACCAGTAGGTCAGCATGGCCTTGGGAAGGTGGCAGGCCAGCCTTCAGAAGACTTCCTAGGGAAGACCAGCCTGCTACAGAGGGAACAGGACAAGATTGGGAGTAAAGACTTGAAGTTGAATCCCTAGTCTGCTGCTTTTCTACCTGTATGATTTTGGACAAGCTGCTTGACCCCCTGGGCTTTGCTGTCCCCATTTTCTAAAGTTGAAATATTAACCCCTCAGATCTCTAACCAGGCGGCTCACCAGCTCTTTGCCCACAACTACCTTATGGCACAAGTGTGATTATCCCCATTTTAGAGAAGAGGAAACTGAGACCGCAAAGGAGGCTGTGACTTGTCTAATCTAGTAGGTATTGATTTGATGCTGGCACCTAAAACTAGGGGGATCCCTAAGACCCCTTCCCTCTCTGAATCTTTTTTGTTCTCTGGGCTTTTCTCCCTATGTAAGCAATGGTCTTGACAGGTTTGAGTTCTGAGGTGCTCGTTCTAAAAGTGAGTCAATGAGCACTCATTAATTAAGAAACAGAAGAAGTTCCTACCCTTGAGGGGTTCATGTAATAATGGGGGGACAGCCTGGAAGTCCCTAGGCATGTGAACCCAAGTCCTCTGTGCTCTTTACTGAAAACAAGAATCCAAAAGCAGCAGCAGGTTGGGTTCTGGGAAGGAGAGGTAGGGGAATCACGGGCTGTTTCTGCTGCCTGGAGTAAGAGGTGCTCGTCACCCTGCCCAGTAGCATTCTTTCCTTCTGCTGAGCCCATCAGAGAAGTCCCATTGGTGCAGAGGGAGGTGAGGGAATCATGGTAGCTCTCTCAGAAGCTGAAGAAGAAGGGAGTTTCCATCACCCTTTGGAGGTTAGCTGAAGGAAGAGAGAAGCGTAGCCTTGTAGCTTCCCCTCGGGGTCAGGGCCTTCCAAACACCAAGTATGGCCTCCAATCTCAGCCAGTGGCTTCAGAAGCTCAGTGATGGATGGCTCTGGATGACATTTCCCTATCACCAGGACAGCAAGGACATATTTTGTTTAAGGGAGGGAAGCAGAGTGGAACGGAATGGGAAAGGCCCCAGGGCTACCCTGGGAATGCCAGCATAAATCTTGGCACCAAATACTACTTTTCAGAATCTTTTTTTTTTTTTTTGCCACCTACCCACCCCACCAAAGACAGACACACGTGTGCGCACACACACACACACACACACCCTTCAGCTATAATCAAACTATGAAAAGAATCTTTAAGTCTCAGGGTCATAGAATATTTGAATATTAGCAACTTTCTTAGAATATTGAGTGAGAATAATCTTAAGAATATCTAAGGTCTGCTCAGATTCTGAGCTCTTTTAATGGGGGTTGGGGATTAGAAGAAGAGGTAGAAGGTAAGGAAGGGTGCTGGGCAGGAGAAGTTTGTGTTTTGGAGAAACCATCTCCTGATTCCAGGGAGCGCCCCTGTTTCTGTTTGACCCGGTGATGACTCTTCAACCTAAACCCCGTTTAGGTTTTTGCCAGCCAGCCTGGTAAAGCCCCTGCAGTCCTCAGAATCACGTGTGTTGCCTACATTGATGATGCTTAATTTCCATTAGAGGCTAGGGAAAACAAAGTCAAAGGAAGGAATGATAGCAATAATGACAACAGACGCTTTGGGGTTCATGGTGATCTGAGATAGTCCTCATGATAATCCTGTAAAGTGGTACTGTGGTAGGAAATATTATCCCCATTCTACAGATAAGCAAACCGAGACCTAGGAAAGGAAGTGACTTGCCCAAGGTTCCGTGATTAATAAATGACCAGGTTCCGGTTCCCAGTGCTTGAACTCCTGGCATAGGGTTCTTTCCACGGACTCCTCAAGGCAGGAGGGCTCAGAGAGAAGACTTAGCGTCCGTGAAGTTCTCATGGCACATATAGTCCATTACAGACAGGGACTTGTCTTACTCATCTCTGTCTGCCCAGTAGATGAGCACTGCCACGTTCAGTGCTGATCCAGAGTGCATAGGAAGGAAAGCAGCGTGGTGGGCAGCCCTGTGGCCAGGGCAGGGTGGTACAGTGGATTCTGCTTGGTGCCATTTTCTGCTGTCTCTGATGGGGGTTGGGCCAGGCCAGCCCTCCCTTGGATACCTCTGTGGGATAAGTTCTAAGCGGATATGATCATCACTGTGTCTACATAGTCATCTCTGGGCACAATGTAGGTACCACAGAAGTACGTGGAAAGGGGCTTCAGAGACTGAGGTTTGACACTCATTATGTGACTGTGACCAAGTCACTTCCTCTGCTTGAGCCTCACTTTTCTTGTCTGTGAAATGAAAGGGTTGGACTGTAGTTATCCCTTCTACCCCTCAGGAGTCAGGGGTGCAGTTACCCCCACCCCAATCTGGAAAACCTGCAGAAAGTTTTTTGACCCTCCCTTTGTACCAGAGAAGTCTGAATTTTTTCTTTTTTTTTTATGGGGTGTTTACTGTACCTTATTCTAAATTTGTGTTGATATTATACAATATTGTACTTACATGTTATGTATTTCTGAGTTTGATATATCGAAACCGTGATGGCTAACATTGCGATGTGGAAGGGATAACGGTAGTTGGCACAAATGGTATATTCCAGTTCTAGCATTAAAGGTTCTAAAATCATTTCAAGTTCCTATATTCTATGTTCTAAAGGTGAAAGTTGAAATGAAGGCCCAGCTTAAATGCTAGCATTTCAGCAATTTGCAGCAGTCCTACAGGGCAGGCTTTGATTGTTTCCACTTTACTGATGGAGAAACTGAAGGCCAAGGGGTAAGCCCCTTGCCAGGGCCACACAGAGTTCATAACAGAGCTGGGACTGGAGTTGAAATTCCCTGTCTCCTGGTAGAGGTCATCACCCATTGTGGGCATTGTCTCCTGGGGCACCGTAGGGACTTCCTCTTCCCCAGCCTCCCACTCTATTCCTGCTCCCATAGTTTGATTCCAGAGATAGGAAGGAAAGGGGGATTGAGACTGTGCCTCTCTCCCTCCCTCCCT